TGGGAGGTGTCCCTGACCATGGCAGGGGATTGGAACTAGGTTATCTTTTAAGGTCCCTTCCAACCCAAACCATTCTATGATATTTCAAATCTGTGGATTGTTAATGTTATTGGAGTCTTAAAGCAATTTTGGTTAAAATGGGGATAAATTTATTATCAGTTTGTTACAAATAAATCCTGTTAAAGTTTATCACCTCGTCTAAATTCCTGTGAGTTTCCGCAACAATAAGGTATCACAAAATTACACTCTGTCATAATATGTAAGCTTTTTAATAATATATAGTTATAATACTTACTGAGGGTCGAATTTTATTAGCTTTTTTTTCAGTTTTCTCAGTTCGTCCCTTAAATGTTCTTTTTCCCTCTGGGTATTGGGGTCTTGTTCACTTTTTTGTTTTTGCAACAAATCAAGGAATACATTCTTGGCTGCACGTTCCACTGTATCCAAATTAAATCTTAAAGTAAATAATGTATAACATACATGAGTTAGGTAAACTTTAATAGAATTTTTATTTATATGTAATGCTGTTACAATAATATTCAGTGAGCCTTATAATCTGGCAATAGTTAGAATCTAATCATTAGACGTGTATCCCTATGCCATCTCCAAATCATAGTCCACATTCACTTTCAAACTGCTATTATTCCAGAACTGAATGGTAAAATATAAAATACTTCTGCCAATAAATTATCTATAGACAGTATGCTCAGCTCTACCTTTCCCTAAGCTGGACACTTGGACATAAAGATAAACCAAACTGTAGCTTAAGTCATTTTAATTCTTCTCAACTACCCAGTTGAGAATCAGTGCCTGTCTTTCTTCTACATAGCTGTTCTTCCTCATAGCTTTTTCAGTATTCAATGATTTGGAGTTCAGCTGGGATGAAGACTTCCCCAGCTTCACTCTCAAAAAGTACGACTTTAATTCTTATTGCAGCAGGCAGATCCTGTTAACTAACACCATACAAGGTGTTGGCAGCACACGGGGTGATGTTGCACTCTAGCCCATTAGAATATTCACAAGTCATTCAAATCTGGCAGTCACCAAGAACAGGAATAAAAACTGAATGATTTTATCCTTCTATCTAGAAAGGCCAAATACAGATTTTAAGGCTAGGAGGTAACCTCTCCTTAACTTAAGCTTTCCAATTCTTCAGGGAGCCATAAGTCACCAAGAATTTCTAAGGACCCATCATTCCAGGGTAGATGAGAAGGCATTTGTGCACCTCCTCTAAGGAAAGGAGGATTGGAACTTCTTATTGAGTGCCCCAAAATGATGTTGCAGTTCATACAGCAGCCCTGAAATTATTCTTTATTTGAGAGAATTATAAATATCTAGGAGTCCTTTTGGAAACTGTCAGTAATTTGAAACTGCAGTAATTTGAGATGTACCATCAATATGTATATTCACTTTTTTCTTCTTTCTTTCTAGAGTTCTTTCAGAAGAAAGATGCCTTTTTGTCAGCATCAAGCATGTGAGAACTGAAACGGCAGTGAGCATTCTACCCCTAGCTATCAAAGTGTCCAGTGTAAGGAAGGGCGAGGCTTCATACTGAGATGAAAAAACCTTCCATTTTCACGTGATTGTTCCTAAGCATTATTACAGCGAGAATATGCAACTGTTTACTGATAACCAGCTTCTTTTTATTATGAAGTCCAGCATTGAAGTACATGTCTACTTTAGTAATATTAGCAATATCACTGACAGTAACAGTATTGTCAGTAGGCTCAAAGTTGTGCATGTTTGATTTTATATAATTACATCCTGCATATATGCAAAACAGGTTGATTGATGCATGTCACTGGATGTAAGATGAGATTGTTAGAGGCTATGCAGTTGAACCATCACCATATTAAAAATGCACACATTAACAAAACCTCATTCCACCCTTTCTCTAGCAAATCTGTCCCTACATACACCATTTGCAACTCTAAATAAACAGCATACACTTTCCCCAAGTTTTACTGACTACACTGGGGCAAAGCAACTGAGAATCTCACTCTCATTTCAATGTAGGTCAGTTTCTTGTCATTTTCTCAGACACCATGCATGGATTCTACTCTTTCCACACAGTAATTAAACGCTCCTAGTTTCATTTCAGCTAAACCTTTAGTGCCATAAAGATGCATGGGTTGATAGAGCTTGTAGGCATTTACTTTGTATGTTTTAAAGCAAAGGTAACAAATACCATAAAAATGGCATTTGCCAAGCCATATTAATGCTTATCTCTAAAGCCCATTTTTCTGAATATAAGCAATACACATGTAATACATGGAATGTACTTACATGAAAAATATGGCAGGCAACTTATCCATCTCATGTAATTTACCAACAAAGCTTGCAAAACGGTGCCACTTTTCCCGTTCTGAGCAATCCACAGGTTTTGGCTTAAGGTGCTCCAGTAGTGCATTCACCTGACCAAAGTAGTATTGTGGAGATTTTAATGGCAGAAACTTCTGGCCAGAGGCTAACAAATATGAAGACTCCATTTTTCTGTGTCAACTTCTATCAGCTCAATTTTTTTAAATAATTCAGAACTGCAATAACCACACACACACAGTTTATAGACTAAAAGGTCCGCAAGTTATCAAAGGACTTTGGCAAGAGCTCAAAATGCAAATTGTTGTAGCATTCATGGCTACCATCACTGTGCAAATAATGAAGTATCACTAATATACTGATTATGATATATTTTCACGTTAAGTGTCATATTTCAAGAAATTTGATTTCTTCACAGATATTATTTATTTTTACCTTGTTGATTCACTACCTCATCATATTCCTTTTTATGATACAGGAATAGGTGGCCTCCAGTCAAGGACCTGGTTTTCTGCTCATTGCTTTAATTTCTATCTTTTACATGGAAACATATGTACTGTCTGTGGTTACACAGGTTTCAAATGAGCAGTAAAAAAAGAAGTAGACTACAAGAGCAGAGCAATGGTACAATATTCCCACCAATTACAGGAGGTACCTAAAGGAGTCAAGAATTGAAATCTCACAGCAGTATCAGAAGTCTGATTCCCAGAGAAGCTTGTGAAAACATCACCTTGAAAATGCTTACGGAAATGCCACAAATATTAGTGCTTATTTTTCAAGTACAGCAGCAGTTAAATGTAATAATTATTGGAGGAGAAACTCCCATAATTATATTACTACATGTAATTATTATTATTTTAAAGCTGTACACATTCTTAAGAAAGCACCCTGTAACAACTGGTACCTTCTGTCTTTGGCCAAGCACAATCCATTTGCTTAGTTCTTTCTTCAGTTCCTGTTCGTATTTCCTCACATCTGGCTTTTTTATCACTACTTTATTCTTGAAAGAGACAAACTCCTCAGGATCTAGCTCCTGGAAAACATCAATATAAAACATTGGAATCCTTTGTTATCTATTCATTTTGATATATTTTGCCACAGCCATGTATACACACCTGTGCCCTTGGCCACTCTTGCCAGATTTTAACCATTGTGTCATAAAGCTGGATGCTCTCTCGTGGAGACAGAGAAAGATCTGAAGGAATACCATAGTTCTCAATCTGCAAGGAGTTTCAACAAAAGAAAAATCATTGAACCATTTTGATGGAATCCATGTTGCCTAAATGTAACAGTTGCTAAACAATGCTGACACCAGTATTATGCTTACATGATTGACTGTTAATGCAGCACACGGATGACAATGTTCAATGAGAAAATCACTGTCCTTTAAAGAACACACATACTTTTCCAAATCATTGTATCTTTCTTCATACAAGACTGTGAAGAGACAAAAATGCTGTCATGATGCACTTGTTTGTTTTAAAAAGCAAGTACTTAATCCTGCAATATTTGTTTTTATTTAAAAAACAAAACAAAATATGCTTAAATTCACACACCATGATTAAAGTTTTTGCAGAAACAACAGAAAAATTTATTTCTTAGGTACAAAATATTCTGATACACACCTAATCTAACACGGTATGATTTATTTTGACCTTGTACTTCAGATTTCACTTTACTTTTTCTTGTAAAGTTCATTTCAGTGTTTCTAGACCGTCCTTTTACTGTATTTGCAGCACGTTGCCAATACCTTTTCACAGATTGTAACCACCTACAGTGCAAGAATAAAATAAAAAGAAGACTTATAAAAAACATTTTAAGAAAATTCCTACAGCTATAATAGATTAATTACTACAATCTGCTCAATATAGGATTTCCAGTCCTCCCTCACCATCTTCAATGCAATTTTTTCCAGCTTATCCCAGGGTGCAAATGAAAAATGTGAAATAACATCATCATATATATAAACATTGTGCAGGTGTTTTCTCTGATTGATGATGGACAAGTGTGTATATCAGGCTTTGGCGATTCAAATAGATGCAGAAGCTTCCCAAATTCCTCTGCACAGCTCAATTATGGGGTCTGAAAGAATAGTAGTGCCTGTTCTCGTTCCAGAGTTAAGAGTTACAGTATTGTGTCAATTGGGGAGTAAGGGCAGCATAATACATATAACAATATAACTCCAAATTAGTTGCCTCCCAATATTAATTGACCTCTCTAACTAAAACAGCTCATATCCAATTTAAATATGCTTTTGTGAGCAACAAAATTCCACACATACTCAGTTAAGTGTTCCGGGTTACTGACAGTAGCAGAGAGCGCCAAAAACGGACACTGAATTGTTACCAAAAGATGTTCCCAAACCTCTGCTCCAATTTCACCACCAAGACAATGGACCTATGTTTTCGGGAAAAAGGATTAAAAGAAAAGCATTCCTTATCAAAGTGCATCCATAAAAGGAGTTTGTTTCATGTTTTGCGAAAGACAGAAATTTGTCAAGATCAGTACTGAATAATTCCTACGTTGTAGCCAATGAGATCCAAATCAAATGTCCAGTAAATCCCTCTCCAGACTTCACTGGATAGCAAATTAGTCTAGATTTCAATACCAGATTCACTGTTTGTACCCTAGATACTCACTGGCATCATTAGCAATTATCTCTATATACAAGAAAGAATACAGTAGGAATTTTAAATTTAGCAAGATTAATTATTGATTACTTTTCCCCGGATACCGTATTATGTGAAACATGTATGACCCCAGTCTGGAACACTATTTGTGCAATTAAGACTACAATGGTGGCTTTTAGCTTTTCAGTTGATGAGCTTGAGAGAAATAAAGAAAGTTTGTGGTAGCTTTGACTGAATTGTATGTCTCCTTGAGGACTAACAGAGTTTTAAGTTTTTTCACTGGAGTACATAAACACTATCAGCGAACAGGAAAAAGCAAGTAAGTCTGAAATAATACTGCTGAAAGTTGTTTTTTTACAAGCAATAACGAACATAATGAAAATTTGAGTCACTGGCATTTTTCCTCAAAATTTTTAATATATTTGTGAAATTGTTTACTATTAGAAGATGCCTACCTCATCAAATATAACATATTGTATCCGTTTGGTCCATTTCTGGCAACGAGGAGACAGCATCAAGATTTCTAAACATTGAGGCACGGTCACTAGTATCTAAGAAAAAAGGTTTGTAAAGCATTATTTTTAAGTAAACTGACTAATCAGCTACAAGTAGATTCTATATTTTAAAAGCATTTAAAAATACGTATGTATTTTATTTCAAGGTAAGCTAGAATGAATGAGTGATTCTTGAAGTCTGCAGTCTTCAAGAAGGGCAAGAAAGAGGTCCCAGGAAACTACAGGCTCGTGAGCCTCACCTCAACCCCTGGGAAGGTGATGGAGCAACTAATCCTGGAAATCATTTCCAAGCACATTGGAGAACAAGAAAATCATCAGTAGTATTCAGCATGAATTCACGGAGGGGAAGTCATGCTTGACCAACCTTGACCAACTTCTGTGATTAAATGACTGGCTTGGAAGATGAGGGAAGAGCAGTGGATATTGTCTTCAGTAAGGCTTTCGACAATGTCTCCCACAAGATCCTCACAGACAAGCTGCTGAAGTATGGGCCAGATGAGATAGGGAGGTGGACTGAAAACTGGTTGGAAGGCTGGGCCCAGAGGTTGGTGTACAAAGAGGCTGTACAAAGTCTAGCTGGAGGCCAGTAACTAGTAGTGTACCCCAGGAGTCAATAGTGGGTCTGATCCTGCCTAACATCTTCATTAATGATCTGGATGATAGGGAAAAATCTATCCTCAGCAGGTTTGCTGATGACACCAAACTGGAAGGCATGGCTGATACGCCAGAGGGTTGCGCTGCCATCCAGAGGGACCTAGCCACGCTGGAGAAATGGGCTGACAGGAACCTCATGAAGTTCAACAGGGAGATGTGCAAAGTCCTGCACCTGGGGAGGAACAACCCCATGCACCACTGTATGCTGGAGGCCATCAAGAAGCATACTCTGCAGAAAAGGACCTGAAGGTTCCAGTGGACACCAAGTCGAACAGGAGGCAGCAATGTGCCCTTGTGGCAGAGAAGCCTAATGGTATCCCAGACTGCATTAGGAGGAGTGCTGCCAGCAAATCAAGGCAAGGAATCCTTTCCCTCTTCTCAGCACTGATGAGGAGTCCTGTGTCCAGTTCTGGGCTCCCCACTTCAAGAGAGATCAACCTAGTGGCCTTCTATGATTGAGTGACTACAAGAGAGGACAAGGTAAGAGCTACTGATGTATTCTATCTGGACTTCCATAAAGGCATCTGCTGTATGCTGGTAACCAAAGGATTTTAATGTTTTTTCTTTTAACCAGAGCAGGTAATCAACTGCATGTCCCCTAAGGACGAACAGGTAAGGTTGTATGCCATAGACCGAAAGCTTCTGTTAAGCAGTACTGGCATGCTTAGACTTTTCCTGAACTTTGTATTTAGTAGTGGCACAATCATTACAATCAGAATCAACATTTTCAGAAGCCAGAATTATTATGCATTAAAAAGCCCACATAAATATACCTGAGAATTCATGACATCATGACGATAATCTCGCGTGAAGACTCCACACACTACCAGACCATCAGGAAGTTTCTTGGTGAATCGACTGTATATAGTTCCCACCACTTGGTTTACAAGGGCCTTAGATAAAGCAGGTCATTAACAAAACTAGACAGTGTATGTCTAAAGGCATATGATATTCCGAGACATATAAAAGCATTCAATTTTGGCACTAATATTAATGTACTAGACTATAATGTACCATGTAGTGTACTATTAGGTCTAGCCTGTCAACAATGTTAACTTTAAAAACATAAGGTACCTGATTCTGAATTACGCTCAAACGCTTTCAAATAAATTTAGTGTTATGTGAGTTATACATTATTAATTCTATAACTTAATTATTTTCTCTTAATTATTTTCAAGGCAGTTAAAAATAGATCACATTTTACTGCATCTACAAGCACTTTAATGATCTCAAAGTCCTGGGGCTGCAGGTATAAAATAAATTTCTGCACCCAGACTAATATTGAAATGAAAAGATTATTTTGATGCCCAAGCTGAGTATAACCACAAAAAAAAATATTATAGATAACAATCCATAGGGATTGTTATTGAATAACAGCACATGTAATTCAATATCCAAAAAATATATTACTGAACATGAAAATTAGTTTTGGAATAAATCAAAACATAGTGCCTCAGCACTGAAGTCAGTTTTTAACTAATAGCGTAGAACTCTCATTAAAAATATCCCCCTGACTAGAGTTTCACAAATTTTCTCTTGAAGCATCTAACAGTGATCTCGATTAGAAAAATCAGCTTGACTTGCTTGGTCACTGTTCTGTTCTAATATTACTTTCAGCATGTTAGTAGTCTATTGGTACTCTCAACATTTATTTAACATGCTACTTATAGTACTTGTGTATATACTAGTGTTTCTGACCTTAAATTAGCTCTACAGATATTAATAGACAAAAACTCTACAAGAGCTTGAACATTTTGAAGATTTCTTAGTAAGCATGCTGTTTCTTGTAAAACAGAATGGAAAGATTCCATTTCTAATAAAAAATGTGTCAACTAAATTTGCGTAACAAGTTACCCCAAATGGTTTCAGAACCTTACTGAGAAATACCATAGTCATACATACAGAATATGTAGGAGGATCCTGCCTTACCTTTGTAGGAGCAACATACACAACTACTCCATCATTGCTCGTTTTCAGAACTTTTTCCATGCAATAGTATGATGCATATGTTTTTCCTGATGAAGTGGGAGCAACAATCACTGCAGACTCATTATTATCTACAGCATCAAGAAGTTCTCGCTAAGAGAAAAGTGGTTAATTATGTCAAAATATCCTGTTATGAAGTTCTTATTAAGTAAACCATCTCTTTCTGTGAAAAGATCTTGGTTTTGCATGTAGACTTTATATACAGATTTTAGACTACAGAAAGTTAGAGTTAACCTAGTCATTTTATGACTGTATTCTTTTCTCTTAGACTGTTTGTGGGAAAAAATGGAACTACAAATTATAATTTGTCTATTTCAATTATTTGGTCTGAGGTACTGGTACCAGAACATTCTGAGTCCAAACCTGGACATTTTCAAATTAAAAAATAGAGCCAGTTAATTCAGCAGCATGTAATGTAGTTCCAAAAACTTCATTGTTTTATACAAGGCAGCATTTTGTTCTTGCATTATAATAGTTACATTAATACCATCCAAAACTCTCTTCTGCTCTTAGCATACAGTGTTTACTAACCTGTTTTCTTCCCTATTATTGCCTTCCTCTATGCCCTCTCACCTTACATAGGTCTGTGAAAGGATGGAGGGAGGGGTACAAAAGAGGAAATAGAAATAGTACTAACACTATATTTGTCTATCAGCATATATACCGAATTGCAAGCTGCTTTTCAAGCAAGTGACTGTTTTGCAGATATGGACATGCAAACCAGCAAATTCAGCTGGTCTCCCCAGTCCAATAGTAAAAAAAAAAAAAAAATAATCTGAACGGGACTTACTCTGCTTTAGACAGAAAAGTTATTTCTCAGTTCATACTATGGGTAATTCTTTAGGGACAAATGAGCAAAGGATGAACAGAGATTATCTAAATGGGGCATCACCACCATCAAATTTGGTAATAAACAGTGAAATTCCATGGATTCAGCATTTCTTGAGTTGAATTCCTTGGGCCAAGTTCCCTGTAGAAAAGTTCTCAGTGTAGAAAGAACATGGAATACAGTCCAAAATTATCTACTGAATTTGTTAAACTTGTTAAAAAGAAAATTTGTTAAACAACACTATTTTTGACAAGCAGATAATAATGTGTATTTTTAAACGGAAAAAGAAGATAATTTCCATTAACTTTATGCAAAAACTTTGTGTCTCATTACCTGCCACGTGTCTGGTATGAAATGTTGCACTCGTGGATCTGGATCATTTCTCTCTTCTCTCAGCAAGTAATAATCCATGTATTGTAGCTGAAAGCGAGCTGGACCCACTTTGACGGCATAGTTGCTTATATTCTTATCATTACTTTCTCCTGTCTATAAGATCAAATGAAAATTCAAGTTGGTTTGAAAGTTAGCAACAGATTAAGAAAATGGCTTTTTTTGCTCTGTGGAACCCTGAAAGCTTTGAAAAATGCATGAAAGTGCAGGTGATTTTTAAATAATTTATTGCAGAAATCTGTACCACATAGACTTACATCAGGGTCACACTTGTATATCTTCAAAGGTGACTATGTTCCAAAAATAATGTCTTACATAGCTGGTGTTGGTGATGTTTTTGTTGTCAGGAGAGCTAACAAGGTAAAGCTCAGCCTCTTCAAGCTATTGCCTGCCAGAGCCTTCTTATCCTGTATTAATGTCTCTTTTCTTCACCCTGCCCTGACAGTTGGAATGCAATTAAAATTGTTTGAGCAACAGTCTATAAAGTTACCTGGCCAGATAGAGAGCACGCCAAATTCTCAAACCCAAGAAGTCTTAGATATCTGGTCAGCTTTTGTAGATGTGGTTTCTCCAAGAGATCTTGATATTTTTCAAGGAGGATATGAATTCTCCTCATTACTTGAACAGCTTTGCTTAAATCTTTAGATTTGTTACCTTAAAAAATAAAGCCTACGGTTATTTGAGAGATAATTGTATCACTGGGAGTCTTTTCATATTAGATATTTTTAGAAGATACCTTATCCATCCAACTGCATTTATGACAATTTAAAAATTAATTTTATTTTAAGGCAACTAGATAAAGACAACCCACACTTTTGTGACATCTACAAAGAGTGCCACCACAGATTTCTGTGCAAACCATCATCACTCAGACTGTGAGCTAACCACCTCAGCTAATTAAACAAGCCACTGCAGTTTACATACATTTTAACATGCATGATACCTAATCATTAAAGATATATACAATATTTTTTTTACATACGCAATGTTTACAAAGCAAAACAGGAAAACAGCTACAATCTAATTCCATTGGATACTTTACAGCTGACGGAAAGGATCTTGAAATTGCAGAAGTGGACCAGAGCCTGATAATACTTACACCTTTCATGCTCCTGAAAGAGGGCTGTATTTAAATGTCTTTATCCCAGCTGACAATGTCCAAAGTCACTCACTCTCTTGGTTAAAGGGAGTGGAAGCTGAATACTGAACATGAATTTGGCTATCATACCTTGCTCTCTGCAGTGTTCCTTCCACACTTCTAAACAGGCAGACAGTCCTGTCATTTCTACGCTGAACTTCACAGGTTTAGTCTTAAGGGTCTTGAGAAATGTCTCCAATTTATTTATTCCAACAGTCAGATTTGCTTTTATTTCCTTTTCAGTTCGTATACACAAGGCTTTCCACTGCTCCTGTTCTTTCTTTTCTTCTTTAGTTTTCAGTCGCCTGTTGTTTTCTTCTGCAATTATTTCTGCTTTACTTTTCTATCCAATAAAATGAAGATATTTAGAAGTAACCATCACTGCATGCAAGCATAATCTAAAAAAAGTTAATTCATAAACTCAATCCCAGCAGGTACATTATAGTTTTCAATTCATCTGTGTGATGCATTGTGTTTTTGGGATTGTTTAAAACAGCACTTCATTTTGAAGGAGATATAATTTTTGAATCCCAATATATGTTGCTTGAAAGAGCTTCCCTAAGCTTCATTTTAAGTCAGTATAAAGCATCACAAGTAGCATAAAAAAAGCACAAATGTGGAAAAATAAAAGAACAGATGTCACAGTTAAATTTCAAGTTTTTATAGATGGGTAATAGCAATTCTTATCATAATGGGATGCCTTTCAAAAAGTTAAATAAGGGTTCAACCTTACTTGAAATTAACAAAGTTTTTTATATTAAGATTTTTATAGCTACATACCCTGTAATGTCTGGCAATGTTCACATCGGATTAATTGCAATATCTACAGGATCTTTCACAGAGAATGTTTCCAAATAGTGCAGGGAAATAAATAACTGAATTACAGTTTTTCCAGTATTTCTCAATAGTTTCTTCAAGTAAAATTAAATTAATGAACTCCAGTTTCCCTCACTCCTCATTTTAATACTGGCCATGTGCCAAAACCTTTAGAGAGTCCTTTTTTTTTTTTTTAATTTCATTGTGTGTCTTAAAATATAATCACTGGTCAGCATTCCTAACTAGGAAGAAAAAATCATTTTGCCAATTAGTTAATGAAATTTGAAGTAAAAAGGCAATTTAAGTTTCTTCAACTGAGAATTACTAGTGCTTTCGGAATATAAAACTTCAGCTATGGGACTCCTGTAGTAGAAATCCTTTCCTGGATAATAGAAAAAATATTTGGAAAGAGCAACTTGAATATACTCACATGCTTTTTTTGTGTTTTTTTGAGAGCAGCATTAGCATTCCCTGACACATGCTCTTGAAGTACAACAAGTTTTGAAGTGCTGTCTTCCAAAGTGCTTCCATAAAAGTGACGAAAAGTCTGTAACTTCTGTATTTGTCTTCTTTCATCTGGATCTTTGGATTTTGCTGCAAACAAATATAATTTAAAAACACTCTCATAGAATTTCAGCCTAATCTATTTGCAAGAAAAGGTATCTGGGTAATGGATACATTTCCTAAAAATTCCTCATTGACCTAAAGGCCAAAATCCCATTTTGAAAGAGGCTGACTACCAACACTCACTGAAATCCAACAGTACTTTGAATTATCTGAGAGATGGGCAATAGACTAAAATTCAAACCGCGTTAGGCACACATTAAAAATATTGGAAAGCTTAACAAGCAGGATGCTTGGAATGCAATTAAAACTGTTTGAGCAAAATGCCTAGGCTTCTCACACAGTCCATGAAAACAGGAAGATGTCTTCCAAAGGCAATACAGATGGTCAGAAAGAGACCTCTTCCCGACAAAAACATCATCAGAACATAAATAAATGCTGCTGGAAGAACACCTATGCTAGTCAATGGAAGATACTGAACTGAGTACATGGATACTTCCACACTCGAGCCTAGGTATTTCTCTCTGCCCTAAAATTTTCTACGTGCGAAGATCCATCTCAGAAGATCTTTCTGTTTTTCACAAGAAAGACTGAGATTACACATTCCAGTATCCAGAGTATTGATGCAAGGCACAGGAGAGACAGGACTCTCTCTTCAGCTGGAGTGGACACAAACCTTCAACTCCAACACTATGGAAGGTGCTCTAGTTACTGTTCTGCAATTAATGCTCTCTGAACTTCCCATTGAAATTACAGTGTATGAAAGAATGCAAAAAATCATACAGTCAAAGATCAGCAGATGGAAGCCTGGTAAACTCTGGTTTACCACTGGTCAAGCAGTACAAAGACCCACTCAGGAAATGTTTCTAAGTCACTGAATGAAATCCATAAGCAACACTGGAAGTACCAACAGTAATCCAGGACTCCTCAACTCCTGGTAGGTTTTTCACAGTTTAATTCTGTATGATGCAATAGGTGATGAGAACATCATTGAGAGAAATTTTTGTGAACTTGCTAGTACATACAGTATCATATACTTAATTTCATGTAAACATGCAAATCTAAGATCAAAACTAAGTCCATGGCTTGTTTTCCTTAGTACCTCAAACTGGAAAAAACTTACAGGAAACTATAATGCATAACATCAAGAATTATGATACAAACAGCTTTTGTCTACTTCTGTGCTGGTTCTAGTGGGATAGAGATACATTTCTTCACTGTAGCTAGTATGAGCCTTTGTTTTGGATTGGTGATGAAAACAGTGTTGATAGCACAGGGGTGTTAGCTATTGCTGAGCAGTGCTCACACGCAGTCAAGGCCTTTTCTGCTTCTCACACCGCTCCACCAGCAAGTAGAGTGAGGGTGCACAAGAAGTTGAGAGGGGATACAGCTGAGACAGCTGAACCCAATTGATCAAAGGGATATTCCGTACCACATGACATCATGATCAGCAATAAAAGTCCAGGGAAGAAAGATGGAAGTGCAGGGGAATGTTTGGACTAATGGCATTTGTCTTCCCAAGTAACTGTTACACATGATGGAGCCCTGCGTACCTAGAGATGGCTGAACACATCCATGCAGATGGGAAGGAGTGAATGAATTCCTCATTTTGCTTTGTTTGCATTTGCAGCTTTTGCTTTACCTACTAAACTGCCAGCTGTAAGAGAAGATCAGGTT